ACGATGTGTATCTAATGGTACCGGTGATGATGTATCGCGGTATCTATTATAATAGACAGTTTACATCACCGTCGTTGCCCGCTGACGGAACCGGCGAATATATAAACCGATATCTTAACACTTTATCGACCGCTAGCCTATTAATCGGCTTTTCGATTGCCAATGCTTATCGATCGCTAGCCTATTAATCGGCTTTTCGATTGCCAATGCTTATCGACCGATAGCCTATTAATCGACTTTTAGCTATCGACGGTTTTCGCTTCTTTACTGTTTTGTTAGTAGCTGACCTCCTGTATGCTGACCTCCCCATATCCTTATGAATTATAATTGTAATAATTATATTATTATTTATTATTATTTTTAAAGGAATAAGCACAACACAATGAATAGCGAAAATTTAGCCGGTACTGGGAGCAAATGCGCGCGCGACTAAGCCAGTCCTTACTGAGTGGCAGCCTCAACCACGACAGGACGATAAAGTGTTAGTATCTTAGTACTAAGTAAACTATAGATTAATTTTTGTTCGAGGTTAAAATTTCCTTTTATTTTCAACAAAAAAGAACAACGAATAGAACGAATCGCCTCGAATCGCTTTCAGCCGGTTTCGATCGTTCGCAGTTTCCGAGCGTTAGTTCCAAACGAAAAGAAATTGAAAGCCCGTGCAAAACAAATATAATACGAAATAAAGGCGAACGTCAACGAGCAGCGTGACGGCGGATACGAAACGTTGTCGCGGGCGTTTGTCACCGCGAACGAATGCTTCGCGTCTGATTCACCGCGTATGCCAGTAATTATTTCATTAAAACGACGGAATTATATTTCCGTTGGCTTAAATTCGTAAAACCGACCGACCGGACTCTGTGAAACTGAGATCATCGCACTGTCCTCGCAATTATTCGGTTGTCCGGAAAGTTCCTGCCGATTTTCGGTTGGTAGCGTGAGAGACCTGACCGAATATATCACAACTATTGAAAACAAATGACATGTGTATATATATATATATATATATATATATATATATATATATATATATATATAATAATATATATATATATATATATATATATATATATATATAATATAATATAATTATATTATTATTTTATAATATAATATAATAATATAATATTATAATATTATAGAAACAAATTTGAATATAAGTATAATATATATATATATATATTATATTATATTATAAAATAATAATATAATTATATTATATTATATAATATATAAATATAAATATATAATATAATAATATTATAATATTATATTATATAATATAAATATAAATATATAATATAATAATATTATATTATATTATATATATATATATATATATATATATAAATATAAATATATAATATAATAATATTATATTATATTATATATATATATATATATATATATAATGGAATTAACGATGGAATTCGTTAAAACATTGTAAACGTAATTGGAGTGACACTGGACACTCGGGACAATACGTTACAGCGTTTTGTAAACTTTTGTTTGCTTCGTGGCGCCGGGAGAAACTCTACCGATTTACGCTGGGCGTTCAACGCGTCAACCGAATATAAGGTGCGCGGAAATATAGAAAATTCGATGGAACGTTTTTATTAATTAGTTCGACGAACGACTGCATCGTCGGCCGCGCGAGCGCACGAGACTATGGAATCTGTAATTCGGGGCAAAAAAGAAAAAAGGAAGTGTCGCCGACNGGCATGTGTACATATTCTAAAAGAGATAACTTCAGCCATATTTGGAAAAACGTTTGGTTACGATTCGTTAATTTTTATCAGTTTTGTACGTCTTAGAATATGGTGGCAAATAAAGTGCATTATAGGCATTTAATGCTTTTATTTTTCCGAAAGGTCAAAAATGCCACACAAGCGGCAAATAAGATATGCGCTGTTTATGGCGAGGATGCTGTAGCCGAAAGAACTGTGCGGAAGTGGTTTGCTCGGTTTGAAGCTGGAAATTTCGACCTTGAAGATCAAGAACGACAAATTTTTTGCCAAAAAACCTGAGAGGTTCTGTTTAGGACGGAATTCTCAAGCTGCATGAAAGATGGAAAAAGGTTGTGGAACAGAACGGTACCTATATAATTTAATAAATGTATACCAATATTTAACCCCTTAACGTGCACGCTCGAGTTAACTCGAGCGCGCTAAACTGGCCAGACTGTGCACACTCGAGATAATTCGAGCGTTGTACTTTATGTCGCTATAATTTTTCGCACTCGAATGCAATCGAGAATTGAAAGTAGCAATGTGAAAGCAAAAAAAAAGCAATCGTTTTATTGATATTTATCATTTACATGGGATTGTAAGCTATAACACTTACTTATTCAAGTATAAAATATATCCTTTTTCTACTTATCACACTTACGACTTATCTCTTCCTTGTGAGCCGCTTTCCGACAGCGTATTCATATTCAGATTCTGATTCGCTCATTTTTCAATATATATTTTACTAAAATATAATGTAAAATAAAATATAANTATTATATTATATATATATATATATATATATATATAATGGAATTAACGATGGAATTCGTTAAAACATTGTAAACGTAATTGGAGTGACACTGGACACTCGGGACAATACGTTACAGCGTTTTGTAAACTTTTGTTTGCTTCGTGGCGCCGGGAGAAACTCTACCGATTTACGCTGGGCGTTCATCGAAATTCGAAAATTTCCAAACCCAGACGACGCTCCGTCTTCGAATTTCCAGTTTTCGCCCGTATCGGATCAACACGCGACTCGCACGCGCGACCTGACCGAATATATCACAAACTATTGAAAACAAATGGCATGTGTACATATTCTAAAAGAGATAACTTCAGCCATATTTGGAAAAACGTTTGGTTACGATTCGTTAATTTTTATCAGTTTTGTACGTCTTAGAATATGGTGGCAAATAAAGTGCATTATAGGCATTTAATGCTTTTATTTTTCCGAAAGGTCAAAAATGCCACACAAGCGGCAAATAAGATATGCGCTGTTTATGGCGAGGATGCTGTAGCCGAAAGAACTGTGCGGAAGTGGTTTGCTCGGTTTGAAGCTGGAAATTTCGACCTTGAAGATCAAGAACGACAAATTTTTTGCCAAAAAACCTGAGAGGTTCTGTTTAGGACGGAATTCTCAAGCTGCATGAAAGATGGAAAAAGGTTGTGGAACAGAACGGTACCTATATAATTTAATAAATGTATACCAATATTTAACCCCTTAACGTGCACGCTCGAGTTAACTCGAGCGCGCTAAACTGGCCAGACTGTGCACACTCGAGATAATTCGAGCGTTGTACTTTATGTCGCTATAATTTTTCGCACTCGAATGCAATCGAGAATTGAAAGTAGCAATGTGAAAGCAAAAAAAAAGCAATCGTTTTATTGATATTTATCATTTACATGGGATTGTAAGCTATAACACTTACTTATTCAAGTATAAAATATATCCTTTTTCTACTTATCACACTTACGACTTATCTCTTCCTTGTGAGCCGCTTTCCGACAGCGTATTCATATTCAGATTCTGATTCGCTCATTTTTCAATATATATTTTACTAAAATATAATGTAAAATAAAATATAAAAATAATAATAATAATAATAATAATAATAATAATAATAATAATAATGATAGCAATAATAATAATAATAGTAATATTCTGAAAATTAGAAATCATACCAATTGTATAAACATCCATTATTTTTGTATTTTTGTAATTTTCTTGCCAAGACAACGTTCTGAATTGTGTTCTTTTACATAAAAAAAATTGATTCTTTTTGGCCGGCCATTTTCCAAACAACTGTGCGTATAGGGATTAAATGAGCTGCGTTTTAATCGTCCTAAAAAATCGGCACCAACTTTCCGGACAACCCAATACTTACACGACCACACAGCTGCCGGTTTTCGAACGATCGGCGTCGTTTCTTCGAAGAAAGAACGATCGAATCGTTGAACGGCACGAGCTCTCCTCATAACGTTTCCTTCCTCCGTACGGTTAGCAGTTAGCATGGATCGGTTCGCGAGTGCGATACGTCGCGCCGCGACAACGCGGCTCCGCGATAGAAGATAGAAGGAACACACGAGAAAATGACTGCGAAACGCTACGAAACGGTGGGTAGCACGGTGCACGCGTAGGTAGACGCCGAGGGTGTGCCATCGGCCGCGCTAACGACGCGACGCATCAAATAATTCTAACCACGCCCTTCCTTCCGCATTCCAACCCTGTGTCCCGACCCGACCGTTTCGAAAATTTCCAAAGTCACACGAATCAGACGAACGTCTTCCAATTTCCAGTTTCCGTCCGTATCGGATCAACGCGCGACTCGCACGCGAGCTAACAACAAAATGTTATTCCTCTGCGCGAACAAATTCGTTTAACACCACGTGAATGCCACGTCACCTATATATGGGTGACGGCTATGTTTTCGCAGTCTTGTACTAAGAAATTGTACTTATATCCAAATNACGCGAGCTAACAACAAAATGTTATTCCTCTGCGCGAACAAATTCGTTTAACACCACGTGAATGCCACGTCACCTATATATGGGTGACGGCTATGTTTTCGCAGTCTTATACTAACAAATTATACTTATATTTAAATTTGTTTCTATAATATTATAATATTATATATATATTATAATATTATATTATTATATTATACTATAATATAATAATATAATTATAATATATTATATTAACATATTATAATTATATTATATTATAATATAATAATATAATTATAATATATTATATTAACATATTATAATTATATTATATTATAATATAATAATATAATTATAATATATTATATTAACATATTCTGTAATATATATATAAATATAAATATATAATATAATAATATAATATAATATAATATAATTATATTATTATATATTATATATATTATAATTATATTATTATATTATATATATATATATTAACGATGGAATTCGTTAAAACATTGTAAACGTAATTGGAGTGACTCTGAACACTCGGGACAAAACGTTATATACGTTTTGTAAATTTTTGTTTGCTTCGTGGCGCTGGGAGAAACTCTGCCGATTTACGCTTGGCGTTCAACGTGTTAACCGTGCAACGTGCGTTCGTCAAAAATGCGTCAACATCGCGTCAACGTTGGAATTCATTTTCGTTCTGACCAATCCGAATTCTCTATTCAGTTGATCGATTTTATTGAAACCACTATTTGATTTATCGACCATTCGATCGGTACGAAGCGAAAGAAGTTGCACCGCGTTTCCTCATGGAAAATCACTGAGCACACGAGCGATTCAAGACATTATGTAAAGTACAAACATTTGAATTTCTATGTTAATCGTTTTTGTAGCGCAACCGGCGATCGCGGTTGCTCGAATAGAGGACGACGGGTCTGGTAGGCGCGGCGACGTTCTGTACTTCGTTTACAACAGGCGAATGACACGTGCGTCACCGAACGATGAACGCTGGTTCGTTTGCAAGAGTCTGCAGCCACTGAAACATTTCGATCTCTCTGTTCTCGTGGGAGATAGGTAAAGCGGCGATCGAGTTTCAGTTGCTGGGAAAATGAACGGACCTATAATTTTCGTATCGACCACGTGTCGACCGTTTTTCGGATGGGGGCAAGGCGACGGACGCAGAAATACAGTAATGTCTCCCTCTAATTGACGCTCGGATCGTCCAGAAAAATGGACAATTTTGGAAAAGGAGATACGATTGTTCGAGCCTTGCGGTTCGTTTTTATAGTTATTGACAATCGGCAACTATTGGGTTGGCAACTGAGTAATTGCCGATTTCAGTTATAGAGATGTCTTTCACTCCCATTTTATTTTATAAATATTATAATATATAAAATTATAATATTATAATATTATAATATATAATAATATAATATTATAATTATAATAATATTATTATATATATTATTATAATTATAATATTATATTATTATATATAATTATAATTATAATATTATAATATTATAATATTATAATTTTATATATTATAATATTGTATTATATTATATATTATAATATCATATATTATATTATTATATTATAATATTGTATTATATTATATATTATAATATTTATAAAATAAAATGGTAGTGAAAGACATCTCTATAACTGAAATCGGCAATTACTCAGTTGCCAACCCAATATATTATCAAAACCTCCTCGTTGAGACTGAAGCTAATCCTTTTATTGGTTTCAATATTAACACTATGTCCGGTGGCACCACGCTGGTGCCATGCAAAAACTATCCGTTGTATGCCGGTGGTACCACTTTGGTGCCATTTTAGAAAACTGAAATAACATTTGAACTATATTTCTTGGGCGTTAAAAAAGTCAGCAAGCTAACTATAGCATTGTGGTCGCTTTTCCTTGACCGCTGCATTCAATTTGTCCAGTTGCTAACATTCACGGATAATAAAAAATAACATAATAATAATAATAATTTTATAATATAACATTTACGGGCATCATAAAAATGGGAGTGAGAGACATCTATAACTGAAATCGGCAATTACTTAGTTGCCAACCCAATATTTACGCGACCGAATATTGCTCAATTTTCGGATCCACGATCGTTGATCTATTTGTACCAGTTTCACGCGACGAGCCAACAATTTGTCTCGTCGTCCGTTAACACGTTCAGCGCCACGTCGTTCAAATATGGGCGACACTAATTTTTGACCAATTGAAAATTCACTTTCATTGTAATATATTCGAACGAACTGAATTTGACTAGAATGTCTCGGATGCGAAGGAGTTCTAATATCATCCACTATGATAAATTTTAACTTTCCAGTTTCGATTCGATTAATTAGATTGCTTTGATTTTGTAGGAATTTTAGTGGTCGATTGTGGGCTCCGAATGTGTTAAAACAGCCGTATTTATTAGCTGAATAATCTACCACGATCAACAATGATCGGTTCCGTATTTTACGATTCTAAAAACTTTCGACACTTTTTCGTGGGAGATGCTTGAACATATTGTAATATCGTAGCAAGTTTTATAATAGAAACTTTCTAACATCTTTGTTGGTATAACACGTTTGCGAACAGTGCAAATATGAACGAGCTGCAAAAATAGACAGACGATTTATTCTTAACACTAAACCAACCGACCTGTAACGATGATTAACATGCATTGACTCATAAGATTGAAAAGATAGACTTCATTTGGATTTTGTAAAGTTTCAATTATGAGACTTGTTTCAATAATATAATTTATTCAATCATTTTCCACGAACAAGTCTCCAAAGTTTCTAGTATCGTAAAACAAAAAATCGGTCATTTTGACCGTGGTAGGTTTAGTGTTAAATCATTACGTTAAAGTACATAATAAATGATAATAGAGTGCATAATAAATGCTCGACATTGTGGCTTATCAATTTGAATGTTGCAGCATTTTGCATCGCAATGAAAATGAACGGTGTAGCATTCACGTCCGCGAACGTGTCTGGTACGTACTCTAATGGATTTTCCCATGAATAAATAAATAAATAAAAGAATCTAAAACAAATTCGTTCTTCTCTCGCTCTTCCGAGACAATGCGCATCGGTCGCTATTACTGTCAGGCAAGTCTGTAGCGTGTCAAAGACTACATCTCCATCCTGCGAGTCGGGGTTCTACTCGCCCCCTCTACTCGCGAGGGTAGAAATAGAAATTTTCGAGAGGAAACCGGCAGAGAGTCTAAATAGCCTACTCGGAACGAAATTCTCGGGAAGCGCGTAGGGCTTGGTTGGCTACAAACGTTCCGAGAATTCGAAGCTATTGGACCGGCTTGCTCTCGGAGTATCCCAGAGAGTATCGGATAAGGACCACGTGGTCTAATGGAATTCCACATGGCATTCTCTCGTCGAACGGATACATTGGATCAGCTGGTACGCCAACGACCGGATGGTCGACTGTGACGTCAGCTTGTTGGATACCCGCTGAGAGCTCGAATCAGAACCGCGGAAGTAGGTCGTCTAAGTAGGTGGCTGGTAGAGCTGCCTTCCTCCTTTTCATCGTGGTCCCGATACATTCCCCTTTCACAGGGGTAAACATAATCTCTGGTTAACGAGCCGGACCGTTAATCGGTGCGAAATATTCAGAAGCGGCCCCGTTCGCGATAATCGGAACGGAATCTCGAACTGCGGAGGAGATCGTCGGTGCAGCCTGAAAAAGAGCTTCCGATGCTCTTTTTTTGGCTAGGACAGTCGCCGAGAACTACCATGAATGGGACAAATCGTTGTCTCGACATTGTGAATCCTTCTATAATAAAAAGTATGCTCGTTTTATGAGTCTATTATGCGCATCCAATCGCACCTAATTCGAAGTCGCTGTTAGTTAATATATAATAATATAATAATTAATTTAATAATAATTTATAATAATAATAATAATAATAATAATATATAATAATTAATTTCTTTTATGCTCGAAAGTACTATTTTTCATTCATTTGTTTCTCGTGACGTTGTAGACAGTTAGTTTTGATCGAGTTTCTACTTATTGCATTCGATCGTGTCTTTATTTATTGTAGTAATTAGACGAGTTAAATATTTGATGTTGAAGTGAAGTTTACGAATGGGAACACGCAGAATAAACGAAGAGATACTTTCGTTCAGAAATTTTGCTCAATTTTGTACGGTTTCTTTTTATCGAAAGCATTACTCTTTGTCGCAAAATACTAAAAAACGTGATATCATCCAAAGGTGTAAAAAGATTTATGTAATTTAAAATTAGTATATAATATTATGCGTACTTTTACAACGAATAAGAGAACGATACTGAAAAGATTAATACGGATGTCCCATTCAACGCGATCCATCGATGAATGGGGGAAGATATGAACTTTTTAAACAAATTAAAACTAAAGGATATTAACTAATATTATAATATTATATACTAATTAATATACTAATATTATAATATTATAATATTAACTAATAGGAGGACCTTATTGACACTATGCATTTTTATAGTAAAAAAACTGATCTTTCGATTTCATGCTAGAATTAAATAGTTTAATTCTTTTGTAAGCTTGTCCTAAATATAAATTCATGGCAGTGCCTTCCCCCCTCCCACCTTCCTCTACACACTTTTCTCCAGGAAATATCATGACTTGAATCATTTCCTTTTCCTGTATACCGTTAGGTAATTAAGTATGAAATGCATAGATTTTATAGCGAAATTATAGAGCACTGTAAATGTCTAACAATGTTATCCGTTTGCTGGTTCGTTTCTGACCCGAAATCTCTGCCTCTGCCTCTCTCTCTCTCTCTCTCTCTCTCTCTCTCTCTCTCTCTCTCTCTCATCCGTATTTG